CATCTTTCTCCCAAAAAGCATCTGGTGGCTTTGAACTGCTGACCTTGAGGTTAGGAGCCCCACACAGACCACTGAGCAACAGGGCTCTCTTATCTCCTTCAAATGCTGGGCTGCTCTCCTCTAAGGCCGCCCCACCCCACCCCTCTGAGGAGAGCTGCCACCTTCGGAACCATTTCACACACCATCGGGACAGGGGGCCCACCCCTCAACCCCCACGCCCACGCACAAGGTGTGGGCCTGTCCCAGCTCCCAGCAGGATCCCACAACACACTGCTAAATCCTCCATGTTGCCTCTGGACCCACGACCCCTCGCTCCCCCTCCCCACTCTCAGAGGCCTGAGCTGGCGGTTGGGAGAAAGGGGTTTTCTCAGTCTGCAGGGGCACCCAAGACCTGCTCAGAAAATCCTGCCCCACTGGCCTCAAATGCAGACCTCACAGCTCCAGGGGCTACATCTTCTCTCTGCCCCAATGGTGGGACCCTTGAAGTCCAAGGCGGCATTGTGCCTCTCCCTCTCTGAGTGCTTCCAGGGGAAAAACAACAACAACAACAACAGCATCAAGGGAGGAAGCCGTAGATCCCGGGGAAGGAAACCTTGTCCCCCTGCCCTGTCCCACTGACATGGGACCTTCATGCTGCTCCCCGGAGAAAGCCTCGCAAGCTCCCTGTCATCCGGCCCATGCTGATCCATGGCAGCCCTGTGGGAGGACAGGCTAGCACTGCCCCTGCGCCCAAGACGGTAACTCTTCATGGAGAAGAGAGCCTCATCTTCCTCCCTCGGGGCAGTGAGTGGGTTCCAACTGCTGGCCGTGCAGTTAGCAGCCCAGTGGGTGACCCACGGTGAGCCCAGGACTCCTGAGAAAGACCCGAGAAGTAGGTTCAGACCCTTTAAGACACAACCCTGCCTTCAGATGGAGCAGTGTCGCAGAGAAAATGACTCAAAGTGAGGCTGCACTGGGGCCACTTTGGGGCCAGAGCCTGCCTCCTCCACAGCTGCGGAGCCCCTCAGCACAGGGCTCGGGTGAACAGGCCTCGCCTGGAGCCGGTGTCTGCTTCTGCCCCAGCCCCTGCGCTGTGAAGACTTCACCTGCCCTTATGGAGAAGGGGCACCATTCTCACCCTCATCCTTGCCCCTGCTCAGGAGCCTGCTCCCCTAGTGCACTGGGGCAGGGAGATGGGGAGGGGAGCCCAAGACAGGTCACAGCACTGGAGACCCTGGCCCTGTTTAGCACAGCAAGCTCTGCCTGGCCCGCTCCCTTTTTCCTCATAGCTCCAAGTCCTGGAACCTCAACGTCAGGTGGGTCTCCCTCAGTTCAGAAGGAGCCCCGGAACACGGCCCCTGGGGAAGATGTCCTCTGGCCTCCCAACTGTTCAAAAGCAGAGGGTGGGTTATGGGGTGGCACGGGGCCAGAGATGGGCATAACCAGGCTTCCTTTCCCCGAACAGGAGGTGGGTGGTCTGAAATATGTTCCCACCCCCTCCTCCTGCCCAGAGGTGGGGGACACACCAGAGTCCCCCAGCCTGAGGCTGGGAAGCACCTCTGATCTACCCTCAGGACAGCGGCCCCCAACAGGGTCCCCATCACGTCACGCACGCGCCACCTCACCCCAACTCGGACTCTAAAAATGGTTCCCTGGTTTTCAGCCCCGGCGCCTGCCCACAAATTAGTGTCTCCAAACCCAGACTCCCTCCAGGGACATGACTTCAGGGAGGCCCCTAGGGGAGGCAGGAGGCCTCTGCGAAGGGAGACAGTGCTGCTGAGGGGACATGGGAGGATATGCCCCTTCTCCCAGTACCTAGGGCACCCTCTCCCAAGGCTGCCCAGCCTCAGTGTGGCCCCTCTGTTCTCCTGCCCACTGCAGAGCAACCTCTCGGGGGGAATTCTGGCCCCTGCCCTCCCCTCCAACACCCCTCCAGTGGCTTTGCCCTCACCACCATCCCGGGCAGCCCACAGCTACAGGGGAGGGGCAGGGGGCCGGAGGCAGCCAAGCCTGGGCTCCCAGAAGGTGAAGTGTAAGCACAGTGACCACATGGGAACCAAGCTGGGGAACGGGGAACGCCTGACCTG